TTTATCTTGCTTCTCCTGCCACTCTCAGCAATGAGAATCCTTGTAGGCATGGCTGCTAACCTGGAGCCAACTCAAATGCAATCTTTTAAAAAATATATATATCTTTATTGATTTCAGAGAGGAAGGGAGAGGGAGAGGGTGACAGAAACATCAATGATGAGAAAGAATCATTGATTGGCCGCCTCCTGCACGCCCCCACTGGGGATCGAGCCCTGCAACCTGGGCATGTGCCCTGACCAGGAATTGAACCGTGACCTCCTGGTTCCTAGGTCGATGCTCAACCCCTGAGCCACGCCGGCCGGGCTCAAATGGAATCTTGATCCCATGTATAAACCTCAGAAATCTCAAAAGGCCTGATTCTAAAATATGCCTGCTTTCAGTGTACGTATAGAATTAGTACGTATTACAAGGCAATGCTGACTTTAGCTGGGCTCAGCTAGGCTTCCTGTGGATCCACTAAATTGAAATGGAAAGTTATGAGGACACAATGGATTTGCTCATTGTTCTTCATCTCTTTTGTATTTATTCCTTACCTTTGACTTGTCTTGTTCTATGGTAGAATGTTCCAGAAATTTCATTGGGTGTACTGTCTGATTTGGCACTGGTTTATTTGTGGGTCTGCCTGGGGTATATTTTCCTTGGGCATCGGTTATATGACTGCCATAAGTTTTAATTACACTAATTAGACATCGGTGGATGCCTAACCCCAGTTAGATTGCTAGCTCTAGTCAGCTGCCTCTGTCATTAGTTTTTTCAGTGACATGATCTGGCGCAATTTTCCAACATATTCTCAGGAAATGAGTTTTAAGTTAGAAAAGAACGTGTCTAATAAAGCTACTGACATTCAACTATTTTCTTTACCATATTGGGCAGTTGGACGTGAGCAAAATGTGTACATTTAAACTATTACCTGTCTACTGTGAGTTTTCTCATTGGTTTGGTACTTGAAGGAGTCTTGCCTGGTCAGGTAGCCGGGTGACGGTCCCCATGTGCATGTCTAGTTCAGGAGGAGCCCTACTTGGTGCAGGGCTGGCCAGCACGTCAGTTGGCGGTACCTGCAGGGAGCACAGTGTTGAGAAGGATTCTGAAGTCTGGATCCCGCAGGCAGGATGCCATCTTTGAATGGTGACACAGGCCCTGGGCACGGGAACTGGGAGTCTCAGGAGCATGCCTGCCATTCCCATTTTTGTGAGGATCGTCACATCAGTGTATAATGCAAGCCCCTGAGAGCCCCAAGGCCAGTGAACATCCACCAGACCAGCCAGGCTGCCAGAAAGCAGAGGGTATCAAACATAAGCGGGCATCGCCAGGTGCATGAATTTTGTGCACCGGGCCTCTAGTAAAAATATTTTAAAAATTCTATTTCTGCATTCAAAGTATACTCTGAAAATACAAGCCACATCTATTTCACTTAATCTGCATTTGCCAACAACCCCAGGACACAAAAACTGGTGCATTCTGTTTGCTGGGCAAACGTGGACATTTAGGCACGTGGAAAGGGACAACAGAGTCTGTATTTTGCACCTTGAGGCTGATGGTGCTGACACATTCAGTGTGGCTGATTAGCTTGTGCCATGCTCATGCCCACGCTCACGGGGGCCACCTCCCCCCCTCCCCCCACATCTGCTGGCGCGTGCGTCCACTGCTCCATGCGGTCAGCTTTTGGTGACTGCCTGCTGTCTGCATGGCGTTTGGAAGTTCACACACAGTCAAGGTCCCCAGGGCAGGAGAGAGCCCGCAGAGCCCCGGGCTCCTCCCTCAGAAGCGCTGTGATGGGCACACGTCGCCTGTGCTTTCTCAAGGCAGGTGTCAGCAGCTCGGCACTGCTGCGCAGGCAGGAGCTGGAAGGCCCGCCCATGTGTCCAGTGGTTTTAGGGGGTGGTGATGGGAGGTGGGGAGAAAAGAGCCAGCTGCCTGCTGCTCTGGGACAGGACCGCGCAGGAAACCACAAGTCCGAAACCACAGAGCACACGGGTGTGGGGAGGACTGCAGCCTCGTGTCAGGTCGTTGACACAAGCCCGATGTGCCAGACCAGGGGAGATTATGCAAAGGACTCACACGTCACTTTTTTACACATCGCTCCCCGATTCCTCATTGCTGCGACTTAAGGGTCACTCTGTGCAACCGTGCAGTGTTTACTTAGCAGAGTGAGTTTTTCGAATCAGTGCCTGGTGCCGAGAACGCGCGAAGACAGTGTTGTAAGTCCGTGGATTTCTCTGTTTCCGTTTCTTGCAGAGTCTCAAATATCCAGCAGCAGCTGGCGCAGCTCGAGAACGAGTCGTGGCCGGGCATGGCCGAGGCCGACCGAGACCGGCTGCAGCTCATCAAGGAGAAGGACAGTGGATAGAGCGTCGGCCTGCAGACTGAAGGGTCCCAGGTTCGATTCCCGTCAAGGGCATGTACTTTGGTTGCGGGCACATACCCAGTGGGGAGATGTGCAGGAGGCAACTGATCGATGTTTCTCTCTCATCGATGTTTCCGACTCTCTATCCCTCGCCCTTCCTCTCTGTAAAAAATCAATAAAATATATTAAAAAAATAAAAAAGAACCAACTCGCAAAGCTAGGCTCTTGGTTAGGGCAGCTACTGCCTGACCTGCTTCCTCCCCAAGCAGAGAAGGTGGAGGGAATGTGTGCCCCCCTTTCTGTCACTCACCTGTCCACCCACCCACCATCTGTTGAGCTTCTGCAGGGCATCTGGCACTGGTCAGGGCGCCGGTGGTACACTTTCAAGCAAGACAGGGGCAGTCTCTGTTATTTGGGCATCTAGGACTTAGACGTGCTTTAAAGAATTGAGCCATTGGAACTGAAATCACTGTGGGGAATTTATAGTTGAATTTCTTGTTAGGAAACTATACTCGCTGTCTTTGAAATCCACCAATGGACTGTTCTCTTACCCACAGGATTCTACTTCAGGAAAAAAGAAATTGTCTGCTTATGCAGCTGGAAGAAGCTACTCGCTTAACATCCTATCTCCAGTCCCAGTTAAAAAGGTAGGTGCCTTTAAACGAGAAAGCTCCACTGCATTATCAAGTTAAAAAGGTAGGTGCCTTTAAAAGCGAAAGCTATCCTTCACTACCATGTTATGAATACCCTGTTATAATGACATGTCCATGAACTTCACAGTTCCTTCAGCTTGGTTTTCTCCACCAGAACTTAGAACCAGAAGGGGTGTAAAAGACAGAAAAGTGGGTACATTTTATTTTTAAGAGGAGCTGCTAATACATGATTCAAGGCATATGACCTAACTTGGCTCCAAAATAACAAGTCTGAAGTCAAATTTCTCCAAGGATTTTGTAATTCCCTGCTTTACGGGTGTGTATGTCCATCTACAAACATGCACACGGACCTTATTATTTGAGCTTTTAAAAATAATGTTTATGGATATAGTTTTTTTATGAGTATTTTAAAATATGACTTGGATGCTCAATCATAGGTCTGGTTTCCAAGTCCCTACTGTATTGGGAAGCACAATGGTAAGGCTCTCTGTGTGTACTTTTCTGTTGTTCCTCGAAAGAATGCCAGGAGGTAGGAACTGTTTCGTCGCAGCCCCCGTGAGAAAGTGGGAAGCTGGAAAGGGCAATGAGTTGGCCACGTGGACGCTGCTGGCCCGCCTTGCAGCTGGACCGGGAACTCAGGCTTGACTCCTGATGTTAGCTGGTCTCCCTCCGACACCCAGGAAACAGAGGGCATGTCACTGCAGGCGCCTCCTGGAGCTCGCAGGTGCCGACAGTCCCGCTGCGGTTCACGCAGGACGAGGCAGGCCCTGTTCCCTCGGGAACAGACCGGCTGCTCGCTGTGCCGGGGACCGTGGGGCTCCAGCGCCCACCGCAGGGCGGCTTTCCTAAGGGTGCGGGCGC